TGTCGACAGCTTCCAAACAGGCGGTTTTCTTTAAAAGAAAACCTACGTTTTTGGCAAGAATAAAACTAAGCAGATAAAATTTGCAAAGAGCAGAACTACAAAGTCATTTTCACCTAATTTATACGACCATAAAACTAAAGATGGCTTGATTAGAACATGTTCTAGGAAGAACAACAATTGAAGTGATATTCACTCAAAAATTGTCAATGATAAATTACTAATGCAAAATAGACAGCGACTAAGAAAATACTTGCGCGCTTGGAAAGCTGCCTCTTCTTAATTCAAAGTGGAAAGACTTTAGATAATTGAGAGTTACTCACTTTTGCCAGGGTATACAGTTTATAGTCAAGCTTGTTTGCTTGCCGTTGAGCTTTGTCGAGATCAAACTTGGCTTCTTCCAGTTCTCTTTCTAGCTCCTCGTTGCGGGTCGTCAGCATAGCCATTTGATCTTCGCATTCTTTTAACTTGAAGAATGATTTAATAACAAAAGAATAGCCTAACGATTGCAGCAAAGTTACCTTTAGACTGGATCGTGAATACTTCTGCTGGGCTCGATTCGCTTCCCTTTGCAAGCGACTATTTTCCTCTGTCAGTCGTTCGTTCTCAGCCAACACGGCCTGGAAGGCATCATCTCTGGCTTCCGAAGCTAACGGTGAAGCTGAATAGTAGATATTAATGAGCACTACAACTTTTTGTGGTAGATGTTTAACACAAAAACGAAACCAAAAACTAACTTTCAAACAGAGTGAGCAGCTTTTTACTGAATGCTCGGTGGTGGTCAGACTTCTTAGAAAGCTGCAGCATGATTTTGTCCAGAAGACGAACACTGGAACAAAGGATCCCATATGAAATAATTAACAGGAAAATGAAGCTGTTACAGTGTAATTTTAAGAAAAATGACATAAGACTCTATGTAAATCGAATGCTTAACATATCCTATAGTGCTTAAATTATAATCCGCGGAACAAAAAAATGTTTACAAACTACATGATTACGAAAATCCATCAAAGACTGATCTTATAAAATCTGTGAAAAATTAAAGATTCCCAAGGTGAAAAAACTTATTTCTTATAGCATCCACCCTCATACCCTCGAAAATGTCTTTCACAAGGTGCTAATTACATAGGTTTTATGGAAAAATCCAATATATAATTTATTTATTTATTTCATATGTTTATTTGTAACTAATTCCAAAATGGAACAACTCTGAGAGTAAATGGGAGCATTGTGCTATGCTTAGCAAATTTAATTGAACAGCCTAATTCCATTCAACATAGCAGGGCAAACGATGCAAATAATGCGTTTCATAAAGCACAACCTCACGAACAAGTTCAAGATGAAAAAAGATCTTATACTCTCTGCTCACGAACAAGTTCAAGATGAAAAAAGATCTTATACTCTCTGTGCTTTGAGCATGCTAAATGTGAAACAATCTCACAACATCTTACATTGAAGTAAGATCAACATCTTTCTCTCATCATTTAACTTTGGCGCAGCAACTCAAAATTACAAACTCTTGAAGAGATTGACATTGCCACCACCCTATACTTTGCAATCTCAGGGCAAAACATAATCTTCTGAATCTTAGTGATTTATCTCAGTTTAGAGATATTACCTTTGCTGTACTCGTTTATCGTAGACATGTTCCCCCTGTACGCCTTCCATTTGAACAATCTCATCGAGGAAGTCACCAGCAGGGGCCGCGTCATCTCCTTCCAGCAATTCTTCAACTTCTTCGGAAGAAGCGCCTCTCAAAGCAATCAGTCGCAATTGCTC